CAACACTTGTTCTATTACTAAAATTCTGAAAGTGCATTATCCTTTCCTACCACAAAATGGTGCTCATCCCTATTAAACATGCTTAGCCTCATGGCGGCAGAAGCAGACCCCGTACAGTATCTTCTTGTCATCTTGATGGGGCTATAACGGTGATGCTGCACATGTTCAGGAAAGGGGCTTTGCTGGTTTCCTCTGACATACATGGGATGTTGAAGCCATTGCAAAACTTGGCATGGGCAGGTCAGGGAGGGCAGGTAAGTGCCAGTTTTCTGCTTATTAAGTGTGGAAACACCCATGACTGTCTTAACAACAGTCAACTCCATAAATCAATAAAAAGAAAGCGAGGACAAGCTCTTCCCAGGAACAAAGTGGAAGCAATCTCTAAGGCACCGTTAACCCTAAAACAATGTTAGGTCCTTTCCGCACTGTGCAATATGGTGCAATCCAGTCAGTGCATAAAAAGGCCTTAATTTGCGTGCAATCTATTTTAACTCTTGGTAACCATCATGAAGGCAGAGCAAAGACCCAACTGGCAACTCAGTGAATCCTTCCAAAAAAGATGGCATGCCCTATCCCTGTGCCGGAGAGATACGGGCCAGGTCTTAAAGGGGAAAGATGGATTGTTTCAAACAGAAACATAAGCGGACAAGTTCTCTCCCCCCCCACACACACACCCAGTACCAAACGGGCCAGGTCTTAAAGGGGAAAGATGGATCGTTTCAAATAGAGACATAAGTGGACAAGGTCTCTCCCCCCCACACACCCGGTACCAAGCAGTGCTATCAGAGAACCCATAGATCATAACTATATGCCGACATGGACAGGCTCTGAGTAACGTTGCATATGACGAGAAAGAGTCTTGTGACACCATGAAGAAAGAAGACCACATTCTCTGGCATAAGGCTCCGTAAGTTACAGCAATCTGTTCCATTTGGATCCAAGCCGCTGATGGAGTGGGTAGCAATCCATGGCATCTGATGCCAGATAACGCTTGTTAGTCTCACAAGATTCTTATTCTGCCTTCGAGAGACTAATGGAACGACACCCCTCCCCCACAGGTATAGGTTGCAGGGGTTATAATATATAGGCAGAGTAAGTTGGGGCGCTTTCTCTTGCTCCCCTTCCTCTTCAGCTCAACAAAGGGGGAAACCGGCCGACACCTCTGCAGATGGCTATGGCTCTGTGAAAATGCCTGCTTTTTTTGCTAATTAATATATGCCCAATCCTAGGGCATCGGGACAGCAGACGAATCCTGACACCCTTGTAATATATTCTCAGAATGGTGGTGTGCGCGCGCACTGCTTCTGGGTCCTTCTCCTAGAGAATAAGGACCCCCCAACACTGACTGTCTGACAACAAGCTTCCAGCAGAGGATCCCTGTTCCACCCACCAAGGCCCTTTGGCTCCTGGAAAGGCCCTGCTCTATCTACCATCCCCTGCACACAGCTCAAGAAAATTGGGACCTATTATTTCAGAGCTAGGACTGGAGGGCATGCCATGGGTATGGACCACACTGACCTGGCCCTGATCCAGGGAAGGCAAGTTGCCATTTGGCCCACTGAAAAACACGGGGATATTTCTTGAGCACGATTTATGGAGCCGCCAAAGTGCAATTCACTCCCTCTGGATCGAGACCTCTGAACAGCCACACTAGCGGAGGGGGGAGAGGATCGGAGGGTGCAATCTGCTCCTTCCATTCATTTCTGTGAAAGATGCTCCAGAGAAGACCATCTTTCTCCATAGGAAGCTGCCACTGCCACCACGAAAACTTGGCGACAGAGGCCATATTTTGCTTGGACCACACGGAGATTTGGGAGGGAGGAGGTGGCAGAAATCCACCCCCTTCACTGGGGATTTTCAAAAATCTGAAACTGAAGATCTGTGCAAGGTCTCCTGAATAAACTTAGGCGTCTCCTTGACCAAGCCCGAGCCGGCTCAGGCCACAGAGGGAGATGCTCAATCCCGGGGTCTCTCAAAGATTTCAGCCTACAGTACCCATCCTCCTGAGACTACTTGGGGATGATGAGATTTCTAGACTATCCCTTCTAGAAACCTCTGGGTTTGGGAAGGATGGTGAAAGACAAAGCCCAGTGTCGCTTCCCAAAAGAAGGGGCTTGGCCTGGAAATTCATCTTCAGGCATGGGCCTGTGCCTGGAGTGGAGGGGTGCACGGGATGGAGTGGGGGGGGGGAATGAAGGCCAAGAGAAGTACACCCAAACAGGGGCCAAAGGAGCCTTCCTCCCAGGAAAGCCAACCCCGCTGGCCTCTGGGACTTTGGGAGCCAAGAGGGATCCGTTTCTCTGCCCAGCACTCAGTTCCCAGAGAGAGCCTTTTCTGGCCACCGACGGTGGCGGGAGAGCGACGGAGCCACCCCACGCACAGAGACACAAACATGCCGTTACGGGAAGCGCCCTGATTTACGAGCCCTGCCAAGTCGTAATCACGGAGGTTCGTCTTGTTCACACTCCGCGCTGGTGTTTCTTGGACTCCTCCCCGCCTCTCGACTCAGCCGCATTTTCCCTGCGCGGGTCGGGAGCTCACCAGCCGTGCCCAGGTCCCATCCTCCCACACCCCTGGGGCCATCTCATGCCCTGCTTATGGTCTAGAGAGCGGACAGGCAGGAAGCAGGTCGTGGCCCCCCCCGCGACCTTGGGCTCTCCTCCGGCGGCGGGACCCAGACTTAAACCTGGCTCTGGGACTCCCTTCCAAGACCGCCCGCGCGCCCGCTCCAGGACCGGAGGGCGCAGGAGTCTGTTCAGCCCTTCCTTTGCCAGGTGAGAGCCGCCCCATTAAGCGCGGAAGAAGCCTTTCCCCCCCCCGCGCCCCCGCAAAGACTCTGATCCAGAGCTGGAGGGCAGCTCGGCCGGGGAAGTTCTCGGCAGCAGCTACAGCTCCGCGCTCTAAATTCCCCGGAGACCATTTAGCCCCAGTGTAAAGGAGAAGCAGCTGGACCGTGAGAAAGGAGGAGGGGCAGTTACACATTTCGGATGCCCCCGAGCGAGCGATTATGGGGCCGGCGAGTCAGCCCGGGGAGGCCGGAGCCGTGGGGGAACCTTCCTCGCCAAACCTTCCTCTGTTCCAGGGTTGCTGCGTCGTTCCTCCGGGAAAACGACCCACCGCCCTCCTCCCCACCCCGCCTGTCCACCGGCGGGTCATCTGACTTCTTTTTATCTTCCCCAAGTCCCCTGACGGTGCCCTCCGAAGTCACCTCCTGGATTCTGCAACCTGAGGGCGCTCAGATCGCCCGCCCCAGCTTCGCTTACCCCCGCGCACCCACCGTTGCTCCCTCTCTCTCTCTCCCCGCTCCATCTGCGGACTCCCCCAAGCGACCATTTCCAAGCCTCTTTCGAAGACGGGGTCGCCCGCGACAAAAACTCCGTGTCCCGCAAAATGCCAGACGGGCGCGAGGGGCACCTGCAGGTCCTTGCGCGCGCCATGCCCTCCCGGCTCGCCAGCCATGCCCTGCCACTCGCCTCCTGGACCCCCTTCGCTCCCCACCTCCATCTCGGGACCATCTGGCCTTGGCGACTGAGGGCGAGGACTCGGCTTTCCCGCAAAACCGGGAGCGGAGCGTCCTGTCTGCGGGCGCCCGCGCCCTCCTGCTGCAAACAAAGGCGTCCCCCAGCGAGGCGACGGGGGCGCGGGGCCAGCCAAGGCGAGGGGGGGCGCGGGACGGGTCCTCCGGAGCCCACCAGGTTCTTTGCGCCGAGGCCTCCGGCCATCCCAGGACCGGCCCCTCCCGAGCTCGGAAAGTCGACACGGCAAGATTTTGAGAGGCACATCCTCCCCTTTGGGAGACCCTCCAGGACGCCCCCCTTCCGCTGCTGCTGCTGCCTGAGGCGGTTGGCCGGAAGGGAAGGCTTGCCCCGGGCGCTTCTCTGACCAGGAAAGGACCGCCGGGGCTCAGCCGGGGCAAGCCGTCCCCCGGCTTCCCACGAAAAGCTCCACGGAGGCGCGAGGCGACCAGTTGCGCGCTGGTTTAGTGCCCAGCCCAGCGCCCAAAGAAGCCGGGGCAAGCCGTCCCCCGGCTTCCCACGAAAAGCTCCACGGAGGCGCGAGGCGACCAGTTGCGCGCTGGTTTAGTGCCCAGCCCAGCGCCCAAAGACCGCAAAAGGTGCGGGAAGGATATGTTCCCTTTCTCGACAAACCCTGCTCCCCAGCTTCGGA